AGATACAGCGCTGCTCGACACACCCTTGCAGGGCTCCCTGGATGAATGATTTTTTCCAAAACCATGTTGAGCAGCGATAGGTCATTTCACACTGGTAGGAACGGTATTTCTCCTCAACACATATCTTATATATTCAATGTGTAGGCAGAAACCTCTGCTGCAGAGTGGTTTACTGCACACCCCGGACAAGATGAACTTGGTCTGAAAAAATGCTCAGAATAGGACTTGCTACTGGGTTGCCTCCAAGGAAATCCCCTGATTGTGAAAAATAATGAGACAAGTCCTCTGAGGCTGTCCCGAAGGACTGAGCTGCCGGCTGCCTCCCCAAAGCCACGGAATCAACAGCCAGGACGCAAGGGTTAGTCCCTGGTATTCATTTCACTAGGTGCAGAACGTGGGACAAGGGCAGTCATTTCTAGTTTAGCACAATTACCATTGAGCTGCTCCTTCTGACAGTAATTAGCCAACAAGCTCAGTTTCAAAGCCTGCTCCTCATTAGAGACACCCAGATGTCACGGAGAAATGCCTGGCTCCTGTTTGGTGGGTGTGGAGGCAGGGCTCCACCCTGAGGGCTGCAGGAGGCCCGCGTCTGCGCTGCGTGGAGGGGATGCTGTGGGGGAGGCAGCTCTGTTTCAGAACATGTCTGTAGCGACACGACCTTGGGGCAGAGTGGCTTTCTAATCCTGACATCAATTCAAATCATAAGGGCAAATATAAATGTGACTGCCCGGGTAGGAAAAAAACGAAAAATTCTTTTTATGACAAAAGTCATTAACAATACCAATACTTTTTTGCTCGAAGTATTTTCAAAAAAATTCTTCGTGAAATTAATGATGCACTAAACAATTTAGCTATAAGCCTGTCCACTGACCTTTTCAAAAAATAATGGCATACAATTGGAAACACTCTTAATATCCAATAACAAGGAAATGAATGAATAAATGAGAACATCCATGTAATAGAATAAGAGAATACTATCAAGCAATTAAAAATAAAGGCTATGTCTTGACATGGAAAGCTGTTCACCATACACTGGGAAGGAGACACGGCAGGTTCCAAAACAGGACGGGTGATCGGAGCCAATTCTGGTAATAAAAACGGAAGGTTTCTCACATGTGACAGAGGGAGATATAGCCACGTTGTTAAGAGAGGATTTCCTGTGCAAGATGATTACAGATTCTTTATTATCTTCTTTATTCTTAACTGCCTTTTCCAAAGGCTCCTCCACAAACTATCTTAACTTTATAATAAGGATAAGAAGATACAAGTCATTAAAAAGAAGAATTTCGTCTGTCACCAGCTCACCGATGTCCACTTTGATTTGGCTAAGAGTGCAACGCGATGGGCTTTTTAACAAGTTTTAATAACTCAGGCTTTCTAGTGCGAATATTCACTCTGATGCCTGGACACCTCCTGTCTTGAGTGTTACCGGCTTCTCAGAGATCAAGGCGCCTTTCACAGACTTGATTGTTCCCCAGTGAGATGAAAGAGTGTCCTCCAGGGGCCAGCTGTGCCAGCCCTGTGCCCGAGACCAGACGCGCCTTTCATCATGGGAGACAGGACACCGGCCCGGATGGGAATCAGTTAGAAGTTCCTGAGTTTTGTGTGGGTTGCAGGTGGGGAGGAGGTTTCCCTGCTTTGACAGCAAAGGAGCCCATCCTTGGGGAAGAGGCCAGAGCGCCCGTCAGGGTTGGGGCAGGACCTGTATCAGGATCCTGGTCAGGTGGAGCACCTCCACCTGGGCTCAAAACCTCCCAGGGCCTGGTGAGTCATTTGAGATGAAAATGGAGTTACTGGGGCTGAGTCACAGAGAATCTTGGAATGAAATATTGATAGAGATAGGCAGGGTGGTGGGGAGAGACAGAGAAAGGAAGAAGAGGGGGAGGAGAGGAAAAGGGGGAGGGGAAGGATCAAGGGCTGCAAGTATTTGTAAATGCTGGAACTGTTAAGCAAACCAGCCACCGAGAAACACCTCAGCTGCATTTCCCCAGGGGACTCACAAAATTGAACTTGGTCACAGTGACTCTCCGTGGTTCCTGATGACTCAGCCCCCATTCCGGTCTCCTGGGAAGAGCGTCCTGCACTCCTCTGGTGGTCATGGTGGGACGTGGGGCCCCCGGTGGCCACACTCCACCCCCCTGCTATTCTGTTTGGCTCAGAGATGGGTGTGTGTCCTAGCTGGCTCAGTGAGACCCAAGCCCGGCCCTTGGACTTGAACTTTCAATTGGGAAGCATCTCTTCCTGCTGGGAGGGCCAAGGACTGGCATTGCTGGTGGCCATTCAGGCACAGCTGGGGCTGAAGCTGACCCCGGGGGAGAGCAGAGCCACGAGGTGCAGAAAGAGCATAGTCTGGACACCTGAGTCCTCATGCTGGGTACCCTCGTCCCTGTGCACTTTTCGGTCATGTGGGCTGATACGTGCTATCTTGGGCTAAGCCACTTGGAGGTGGGACCTGGCAGCTTAGGAAGAAGGGTCAGATCTGTGATGACCAACGGAGCTTCCCACGCTTCTGCTTTTTCCCTCGGGTCTCCTGTCTAGTAATTAACACATTACTTTCTCTGACCTCCTCTTCTCACGTGGTGGGCGCCATGGACCTTCTGCCTGTGATACAAGGGGGAACGCTTGCACCCCCCCCTCCAGTAGCTGGGTCCTTGTGCTCCGTGGCTCACGTCCTCGTCTTGACACTCCTCAATGTCTTGGCTCTGGCCAGTCACGCCCTCCCTCTCCGGGCCAGAATCCTGTCCCTAACTCAGTTTGCTGGGATGGCTCTCCGAGGCCTGTCCCACATTTCCAGCTCCATGTGCCATCTGCAGGATGGGATCTCCTCTCTCCACACCAGCTGCCCACTGTGGTGGGCGGCCACATCTGAGAACATCAGCTCTGTGGCCCTGTCAAGGTGCCCTGATTTGAGGGATGCTTGGGTGGCTCAGTCGGTTAAGCGTCTGCCTTAGGCTCAGGTCATGATACCAGGGGTCCTGGGATGGAGTCCCGCATCGGGCTCCCTGCTCTCCCTCTGCCTGCCTCTCACTCTCTCTCTCTGACAAATAAATAAAATCTTTTTTTTTAATAATTTAATAACAATGTGACTAAGTAATTTCTTAAAAATGAGGACCGTGTTAATGAACTGGAATTTCAAATACAGCAAGTATCAAGTATATGCATTGCAAGGAAACAAATAAAATCTTAAAAAAAAAAAAAAAGGTGCCCTGATTTGGGAGGCTCACGACGGCAGCTCAGACAAAGCAGACACACCCGGTGTACATGGAACTTCGATGGCGAGTGGCACAGTGTGGGAAATGGTTGGAGGTGGGTCACTCATTCTCCTCGTGCCAGCCTGTCACTTCCCATCCCCTAGAGACTCAGCACCACCAAATTCCTGTGCTATCGAGGGCCTGGTTCGAAACATGTTCTTCAGTTTGATACACTGTTATCCAGTGATTCTTCTAGCAAATTCCCCCTTTTGCCTAAGTCGGCCAGAGCTGGTCTTGAACAGAGCCTGGACAGACCCACCTCCCCCTTTGTCGCTATCTGTCACGCATCTGCCCCCCACCCCCACCACGTTAAGGCTCTCTGGCGACATCGCAAGTCACAAAGCAACCACAGAGCGCACCCCCCCCCCTCTGGCCCCAGCAAAAACAAGCCCATCAAAATTCCACTTTCTCCCCACCCCAGAGTCCCCTCTTCTGTCTCCTGTTGTGGAAGTACAAAATGACAGTTAAGCCCCCCAAAGACAACCTAGATTAGTATGACTGCCTTAAGGTCTGTTAAGCTACTAGTTTCCCCATCTAAGGACTTAAGGAAAGCTTGCTCTTTGATATTTAATTGCGTATTTCCTTTGCCAGGTACCCAGCAGGAAAAGGAAAGAGAGAAAACAGAATGGCTATTTCAGAGTCACATTATTGTCGGATTTGGTATAGTTCCGACCTGTATCTAGTTCATCTGGCATTTCGGAAAGTTCTGTTGTGAAACTAAATCCCCTTCTGGGTTGGAAACTAACGTGAGCTGCTTTCCTGCCAGTTTGCTCCAGTAACGGGGCCACGTGGAGACCGTGATACGTTTCCAGGTGTTTCAAATCAGGAAAATGCGACACGTGTTTATTAGAAGTGTATCTAATACTTGATTATCTGTTCCTCCTAGGAGAAGAAGATTAGATTTTGGAAGAGAAAGATTAATAACTTTCTTTTGTGGAGACAAGCGTGCATTTGGACCTGCACGCCCAATTTAGGTTCGTCGTGAAACACTGTGCCAAGGAGAGCAGTTTGTCTCCTCTGGCTCTGTGGGTAATGATCACTTAATTAAATCTTGTCATGAAAATACCTTCTTTCTAAACACCAGACAGAGCTTAAGAAATGAAGACAGAAATATTTAAAGACTATTTTTTTTTGGCTTGCCATTTATCAGTGGAAACCCTAACCCCGACGTTCCATTTCTAAGTACCAGCAATGTCTGGTTCCTGCCCCTTTTGACAGGTTCAGAATCCACAGCACTTAGCAGAGAGCACGGACTTTGCAGACTGTCCTATTTCTATTCTGATTCCTCTGCTACTAAGCTGGGCCGCCTTGAGCTATTACTGAACCTCTCTGGATTCATAATACCCTTGTCTGTATGTGGAGTCAGCCAACGCCTTCCTTATCAAGTCCTGGTGACAAGAATATAGGTCAAGTGTCTGAGAGGCAGGGGGCCATAGATGGTGGCTTTTCTTTTTTTCAGGGACTATGCTTGGCACACCCCTCTGGCCATTTAGAAACACAGCCCTCAAGTCACCCTCTTCTGGAGCTGCTCTAGTGCTGGGAGCCAGGTGTGGGGGCAGTGGCCCCCTGGAGTCAGCCTAGTCCTGATACCATCAGCCATGAGCTCTTCATTATGACATGTACCTTCTACTTACCCAGATCACTAACAAATTTAATTTAATGCTAGTTCACTCCTGACAACCAGGCCTGCAGCCGGAAATGAAATACCATTTCTGTCTCGGGTCCCCAGTTAGGGAGTCGCTCACCCACCTGATGGTTTGATGCTGCAGGGAATCGGGGTCCGTGGCGTTCACGGTCAGGAGCACGCTGCCCACAGAGATGTTCTCCTGCCTGGTCACCGTCATGGGGTCTGGGTAGAAAACCGGACCCTCGTTGACATCCAGGACGGTGATGTGGACGGTGGCCGTGGAGCTGGGGCCGTAGGAGACGTCGGGTACCAGCGGGTCCTCATTTTCCACTTTGATTAGCAGGGTGTGAAAGGCAGAAATCTCGTAGTCCAGGGGCTAGAAAGCAGAGACGGGAGGCTCAGCATGTGTATCTGCTACAAAGGGTGGAGGCCTTTGCCCCAAGTCCCTGTGATACCCCACGAGCCAATGTGGATGATCAGGGATGGATCCAGGTTTTGTGGGCTAACCTGAATGCAACGTGGGGTCCTCCTTTAGGATATGAAACATACAGATACAGAATTCGGGATGGAAGCTGGTAGTGTTTTTGGGATCGAGAATAAGTGACAACACATGATGTGAGCCTCAGAGTCCTGGGGCCCCCGTCTGAGACCTCTTTAGGCGACGCCCTTGCCCTGCTGACATTAAAAAGCTTCCTACCTGTAACCTGTAGCCCCACGACTCCAACACTCAGGGGGGGTCGGGGACGAACAGCTCTGCAGCCTAAGCTTCGCCAGCTACGGGGTTCACCCTGCCTCGGTTACCATGAGGGGGAGGTCGAATGGAAAAGGCAGCCCAAAGGTCCATTCTCAACGCTTTCGTCTCACTGGCCACAAGCGCCGAGGCTGGAGTCCGGACAGCAGGTAAAGGAGTTTCTCCTCCCACAGGTGCATTTCCGGGGAGGGCGTCATGTAGGTAAAAGGACTGGAGAGGATTGGAGACACGTGGGGTTACGCCTCCGGGCCCTTCCCCACCTGAGGGCATTTGAAAACGTGCGGGGTATTTTCAGTGGTCGCCATGACTCAGGGGCTCTGTGGTCAGATACGGGGCAGGGGTAGTCTCTGTGAGACACACGGCTGTGCTGGGACCCCCCCCCCAACATGATGGTGGACGGTCCTGGCCCCAGGGTCACGGAGGTGCGGCCCACTGTAGGCGAGTCTACGAAAGAGGCGGATAGTACTTGCCTCCCCCAGCTGCTGTGCAGAGTAAATCAGATCACGTTCAGGAAACCCCACTGTAGACATTATTAATATGGGGGTCCTGCCCATCATTGAACGACACGGATGGCATTCACTTGGCCACTCTCTTTCCAAACCATAAGATGATGCCGGAGTGACATTTCCTGTCACTGAGGGTATGTGGGGAGACATTTAGGTCAGATGAGGGCAGTTGTTTTCCTCATGTTGACTGCGGGGGATGAGTAGCTAACTCCTCAGACCCAGGACATATGGATACGCTTGCTGGAAGGACAGGACTAAAGTGAGTACAGGGAGTTGGTTCGCACTCGACTGGAAGGAAGCAAATGACAGGCAGGCTGTAAGGGCCACGGGAAGTGGGAGCAGCCTGAGACCGGGAAGCTGGGGAGAGAGCCCTGCGGGTGTAAGAGCTGGAACTGAATCCAGCTGGTTGAGTCGGGGTCAGAATGACTGTAGGCAAATCATGTTACCTTCATAATAACTAACATGCATTAGCACACCCCACACGTGTGCACGTGTGTGTGCATGCACACAGAGGAAATGCTGACACAGGAGGGCTTCCTGATGGCAACAGGACCTCCTCTCTCTGCACTTGCAACCACTCCTGGAGGGACTTAAAGAGCTAACAGATGTAATGCTCTTGGCACCTAGGCACTACCCAGTTATATTTTGGTCCCATCCATCCCTGAAACGCAGGAATACTTCACCACTCCATCCCTTTCCAGGAAGAGGTTTCTGTCCATCCCGAGTGACGCCCCAAATATGCAACCTCAGTGAAGTACATTTCAAACAGGGGCTGGGGGTTGCCATGCTCGGAAGACGTGCATCCCGATTAGGATACTGAAGGGCAGAAGCCTTTGGCTTGTTGGGTCGTGACCACTTTGCACTCTGTGCTCTGAGCAGAGCTGACACGCGGAGCCCAGGGTCCGGGAGCCTCCCCCACCGGCCCCAGTGCCGGGCAGACCCAGCACGCTTCTGGAGACAAAGTTAACTAGCAAACTGACATTTGTGAAATCCCAAATCTAGCCCAAAGGAATTTTCTACCACGATGAAAAGGCCACCAGGCTGGGGTTTCTTCCCTTTATGAGCTCCACGGGGCTCGGAACAGCAGAATTTGGGCCTGGGGTTGAGGCTGACATTGTGAGCGGGAGGGCCAAGCCACCTGCAGCATGGAGTGGGGCAGACCCGGGCGGAGGGAGATCGGGGTCCTGAGGGGACGAGAGCTGGCTTATTTACACATGACCTTGAAATAGAATGGCTAAAATGTGTGTTTCTTTACATGCTAGGTACATGTGTGTACATTTGTTGGGTAAGTACATGTGTGCCTTTATAGTCAACATGCACACACATGTCTTTGCATGTTAAATGTGCATGTGTGTTTGTCTATATTAGATATGCATGTACGTGTATGTATGATAGGTGTGTGTGTGTGTGTGTGTGTGTGTGTGTGTGTGTGTGTGAGTTAACTCTATTTGGGTTCCCTGAGACTCCAGCCGAGTCTGGAAGCAGAGCCTGAGGCAGGGATTTGGAGTATGATTTACGGGCTCAGCTTCTCAGAAGAGAGGGAGAGAGCAAGGATGTGGTCTCTGCAGGAGTCCAGCCCAGTGCCGGGGGAGCTCTGGAACTTTCGCTGACCGCCAAATCAGCCCCATCTCAGGGCAGGGGCTGGCCTTTTGCATCTGCCTCCAGTTAGGCACAGACTGCAGGCTCTCTCCAGTGGGCAGAGCTGGCCTGTGTTCCCCTCTCGGTGAGGGCAATTCTGGGAAGACAAAGGCTGGGAGCATTATCTGTCAGCACTTGGGGCTCTCGGAGTGGCAACCTCACCCAGTAAGGGAACCCGGTGGGTGTGTTAGTCTCCTAGGGCTGCCAGAACGAAGGACTGGGTGGCTTAATACCAAGGAAATCAACCGTCTCCCAGTCCTGGAGACCAGAAAGTGCAAAATCAAATGTGAGCAGGGCCATGCTAGCTCTGAAAGCTCTAGGGGAACCTTCCCTGCCTCTTCCCGGGGTCCTGTGGCCTGCAGCCGCCCAACTCCCATCTCTGCCTCCACGGTCACACGGCCCTCTCCCTGCGTGTCCCTGTCAGAGGGAGGGCTCACTCCCTCCACCATGACCTCAACTAATCACATCTGCAGTGACTCTTATTCCAAATATGGCCACATCCACAGGGTCTGGGGGTAAGGACTTCAAAATATGTTTTCTTGGGGGACAAAATTCAATCTATACCAGTGGGGCACCCATGGCTCCCCGACCCCCACAATATACATGTCTGATTTTCACCACCGCCCTTCATTATTTTCCATGACATTATTTGTCCCTTACTGTGCACCTACTGTGAGCTAGGAGTGCTCTGTGTGCATCAACTCACCCAATCCTCACTTTACGTCATAATAGTGGGTGTTTTTAGTCCCCTTTTGTCGATGAGGGAACAGGCTCAGAGAGGTTGAATAACTCAGTCAAAATCACACAGCTAATAAGTGGCACCAGGCCATGCTTTGTGGCCCGGGGAGTGTGATGAGAAAGGAAGAAGAACCGACATCCCCTGAGTACAACACTGGCCTGGGAGGGTTTGAGAACTGAACAGTGCTACAGGTGAAGGGGGGCGGTGAGTCTCACAGTGCCTTTCTGGAGGGCAGGGCCGCTCGAGCGCTCGTTCCCATCTGCACGGTGCTGGCTGTAATAATTCGAGCTGTGCGTTCCCCGGGCTAGGCCACCGGGAGCTGGCACAACGTGGCTCTCTTCTCCTGGACCCTGCTCTGGCTCACAATGGATGAAGAAGCCCTCCTTCATCTCGGGCATATGACTTTAGTAGTGTGATCTGTCTGATGCAGGGTCTCTGGATCAGGGAGGGGAGGGAATTGGAAACACTTCCAATAAAGTTCCAGAGAGTCGATCCAACTACTATTTCACTGAGCATCAAGTGAGGGTGTGGACTACTGTCGTGGAGACTTTAAGGGCTGGGAAAGCCATCCCACACGGGAAGGGTAAAGAACCTGGGGTTTGCTGTCTGGAAGAGGGAGGGTTTGAAAGTGATCCAACAGTGATTTGTAAGCCTATTACGGGTTTGGGGATCAAGGCTTTCTGGATGTTTCCTTCTCCTTCAGGGACAAAAGGGAAAATACACTTAAAATGGAGGGTGGATTATGTTCAGCTGAAAGGGTAACTCTCTGACAGTTTTGGAATAGGTTTACAAAGCAACTAAGAGCATTCCTGACTAGAAGGTTTTAAAGAAGAAACAGGTACTTGCTTTCCAGAGCTGTTAGGATTTGGTCCTGCAGGGAGGCAGGACTCCCCTGGGAGCCACACAGTCCTGAAACTTCTGCTCGTTCTTTGGTACGCTAACTGCTAACTGGTTAGGGCACAACTGCTCATTGCCCAGTGACCATGCCCACTCTGTGCTCCCCTACCCATCTCTTCCTGCAGAGGCTCCAAAAGCCAGATTTGGACTTCCAAGCCTTCTTTGCAGCTGAGGATGGGTAGGTGTTATCTGGCCAATGAAACATCACAGGAAATTATCTGAGAAACCACTGGAAAAGATATTTCCTTCCCTGATGAGAGGAGACGGGCACTGGAGAGCACTCTCTTGTTTCCCTGGCTGCCTTCTTGCTTCCTGCCTTAGAACATAGCAGAGGGAAGACGTGCTGGCTCTCTGACACCTTGAACTGCCAGCCAATCGTAGACTGGCCTACCTTCACCTAGTTAGGAAATCATTAAATTCTCTTTATTATTTAAGCCACTATCAGCCTGGTATTCTGTTACTTGCACCTGAGAGCATTCCTAATGAAGCACTGGGTTGCTGGCAAAGTGAAGAGCATGGGGAACAAGGCCTGGCCTGCCTGTAGAAAGCTGTCCTGGGGCTTCGAGTCAGGTGGGTTGAGAAGCAGAGAGAGCCCAAGGCCCTCAGAGGAATTCACATGGCAGGCAGCCAACGGGAGGGGGAGTCTCCATTTTAATTCTGAAGCAAAGGGAGTCCACTCACTAGTAAAACTGGCACCCAGAGGGAGCCCCAGGAGCTGCAGGCACCTCCTCCGCAGGAATTTGCAGGTGCAAACTCATCCTCAGGCAGTGCTCATGCACAAGGCTGTGCTCCACGAACCCCAGCATCTCCTGGGGCCCGCAGCACCTCTCCCTCATACGGTGACCCTGCAGGCATGTTTGGGAGGGGCCCAGGAACCTGGGTTGTAACTAGCCTCCCCAGTGATGCTCCTGTATGCTAACATTTCAGACTCAGCATCATGGGCCACAGTGGCGATGTGGGGAGAGGGGAACGCCCCTTTGTGACTCTGGTTTTCTCGTAGTGTCTGTTCCTCAAGATGTCGCACACACGGGCCGGGGAGAACTGCACTCTTCTAGGATTTATGATGGGGCTGTATATTTCCCCAAGCTCTACCTTCCAGCTGCAGGTTTGGAAAATTGGAATTGCCTGATGGCGTTTATGGATACAGGCTCGACTTCCATAACTGGAAACTGCTGTGGTTTGCAGGAGAGCCGCGGCAGGAGCTCCTGACGACCTCGCCTTTGCCCGTGTTATCAGAGGGGAACCAGGAAGCCCCGTGGGTGGTTCTCCTCAGCCAGACCTCTGAGGTTCAAAATGAATCAAGTACTGGAAAGAACAGGGCTTGGGAGAAACCCAGTCCCTCCTCCACCGGAGCAAGCCGGAAGCATCTCTGAGATCTGCCATTCTCAGGGGCTCTGGGTCCTGCCCCCGGAGAAGGTTGTGGAACTGTGTATGGGACCCTGCTCGAGGCTGAATAAGGACCTCCCAGTATGACCACGGGTGGATCCCCGGAAACTTATGGGGCAAAAGGGACTTCACAGATGTAAGCTAAGGACCTTGTGGACCGAGAGGATCCTGGATTATCCCTGTGGAGCCCTGGAGTCACAGAGGTCTTTAAAGGAGGGAGGCAGGGAAGTCAAAGGAAGAAACAGACGTAAGACAGGAGCTGCCTGGCTGCCTGGAGCTACAAGAAAGGGCCACAAGCCAAGGAAGGTGGGTGGCTCCCAGCCGCTGGGAAAGATAAGGACATAGGTGGTCCCCTAGAGCCTCCAAGAGGACCCGGCCCTGCCATCCTTAGCCTGAAGCTGATTTTGGAGCTCTGGCCTCCAGAACTTATAAATGAGAATATAAGTCTGTGTTGTCTGAGGCCACCGAGGGTGTGGTCTTTTGTGACAGCAGCCCCAGGACACGCACACGGGCTCCGAGAGCCAGGCCCTGTTTATCTCCTGTTTGTAAGAGAATAACCGGGACTCTGCTGGGACAGACTAAGAAGACATGTAATGATCCACATTTTTGATCAGAGATCTTTAAAAAACCTTCACATATCCTGTTTTTGCGTATCTTTGATAATTCATTTCCAATCATATGGAGAATCTCGTTTAAAAATTAACTTTGGGTTCTTTTTTTAAGGTTACACATACGTTTGAGTTTCCTAGAACCTGTGAAACGGGTTGGTTTAGTGGCTGTGAGGATATTAAGTCCACCCTTAAGCCCTGAGCCTTTTTCTTTTTCAACCCCAGGAAGAGGAGACTAGGGCTGCCTTCTCCTTGACCTTCCCCAGCAGGGAGGCCCTCTGCCTGGCGTGGAGGGAGGAGCATGGGAAGTCCACTTACTTTGACCACGGATAGCATCCCCTCGTTGGTCTGAGGGTTGGTGTGGATCTCGAAGCTCTGGCCAGGGTTTCCGTTGATGATGGTGTAGGCCGCCCTCCACGCGCCTGTGGAGGGGTCGTCCTTGTCTTCAACTGTCAAGTTGACAATAACCCCCACAACTCCTTCCTCGACAGTGGCTTGAAACTGCAAACAGAGCAGATGGTTACTGTCACTATTTGGTAAAGACAGCATTGACCCTCTACAGAGCCCTTCCCACAGGCCCGGCAGTGGGTCCATTACCCACATCAACTCATTTCACGGTGAATAATGCAGGAGAGCCCAGCGGGCAGACGGTCCGCTCCTCCTCTTGGCCTTCCCCGCACCGAGGTGGGGCCAGGAGACTGCCTTCTCTCCCCCCTCGAATGTGGCCAGAAGTGATGCTTGCCAGCTGGGAGCAGCCGTCCCTTCTTCTCGGTGCCTCTCCTTCCATCTATCTACACACAGAGGACCCCAGGACCCCAGGGCAGGGTGCGGCCACAGACGGAAGAACGTGGGTCCCGAGTCCCCCCACCCGTCCTGAGCTGTTGTTGAAGGAGAAACAGACTCCTACGGAATTTGAGCCTTTATACAATTTTGTGTGTCTGCTCCTGCAGCCTCACCGACCCTCAACAACAAGGTCACCGGGGCGCCGGGGCCCCTCCCTTGCATGTGGAGGGACTGGAGCTGGAAACCCGGTGTTTGACTCCAAGGCCTCTGCTCAATTGCACCATCTCCTCTGGAGAAGAGAGCCCATTTCACCTGCCCCACCCCTTCCCCACAACTAGCAGGACTTTCAAAACCCATTTCCTAAGGAAACATATAAATCAGTTGTTTGGAGCCTTGCTGTGTCCGTGTTTTTATTGTCTTACATCTCAAATACTTGCTGCAAGTAGGTGTGGTGAGAATAAATCAACAAATGAAAAATCAGTTTTCCCATAGATAGAGAATTTCATGAGCTATCTTTAGCACATTCCTTTGAGCTGGAAGCATAAAGTATTGTTTTGGTGCTTACCTCCGACATACTACAGGTGAATAGTAATCTGTTTGCAAATATTTTACAAACAAGTAATACCAGTAAGCTGACAAGAAGAAGAAATATCTTGGAATTTCAATTAGTAGGAAAGTGAATCTAGAGACAGTGAGGCGATGTCAGAAAGCCCTTGTGTTCAAAGAGAAGTAATTTGAGAAATGGGGTTTCAAAAGCAGTAGCTGATTAATTGACTTGCAAATCATTAATCATAAGCCTTAATCTTGATGCCTTGGGGGGATGGGGCGGGGACAGTTACTAATTTGTCTACCACACCTCAGCAAACCTGGGTGGGTTGTTCGTTTCTGTGAAAGGGGCGCTGGGAAATTCTTGAAACCTGATGGCAGGATTGAAAGTAGCTGGGGAGGGGGGAGGGGGGATGCTGTCACATAGATAACGGCTCTAGGCGACAGTGAAGTTGACCTGATTCCTAAGTAGTCCTCTCTTCTAGCTTTCCCTCCTTCTCACAAAATTCATGGAATTCCTAAGCTTCAATCTAGATAGGCGGTTCTCAGTCCTGTCTGCACATTAGAATCTCTTCAGTTTTTTGGTTTGTTTTTTTAAATAACATGGGCCCTATTCTAATTCAGTGGGTTTGGGGTAAGGCCTGAGATTCAGTATTTTCTTAACCTGCCCAGATAATTCTAGTATGCGGTTCTGTTGAGAGAAGCATGATAGAGTCCAAGGTCAAGGTCAAGAACGGTAAGGAGGTGTCAATGTCGAGCCCACCCTGGTACTGAGCGGCTGCCTGGGCTCCATGCTGAGGGCCTGCGGTGCATCTGGCTCAGCAGGAAGGAGTGCTGGGATCGGCCCTTGCTGTCAGCCGCGTGTCCTCGGTGCTATCTAATCCCTTCAGATTCAGATGAAGAAAGAGGCACAGAGAAGGAAGAAAGTCCAGAGTCGTTCAGTGAACCAAAGATCAAGTCCATGTCTCTGGGTTCCTGTAATCTCTGCTTTTAGCAAGTTCTATTACTCAAGACCCCCATCACTGAGGCCCGTCCTTCACCCCTGCTGTGGTCCAGGGCCAGAGGACTGGTTCTCTGGCCCCACTGATCACACCAGACCTCAGCTCATAACCTGTCCTTGTGTGTCTTCTGACACCTGTAACTTAGGACACCAGGTGGGCGATTACGTGGGCACAGGGAGCGCTGAGACTGGACGATGCTGGGATCCATCCGTGTAGTAAAGGTGCTGGTACAACCAATATAGAGGTGAGGAGTTGCTTTGTCAAAGTGGACGAGGGTCACATTGCAGATGAAGACACAGAACACATCATGATTTTGAGGAGGCTGGAGGCTCAGTGAAGGCTGTGCTGTTCCCAGCTTTCTCCCCAGCCCCTCACATGATGCTAGGTGCAGAGAGGGGACCCAGAAAATATTTGTTGAATGAGTCAGTGGTCTTAAATACAGGGCGTGGGACCTGGCCTCAAAGGCCAGGGCAGGAGTGGGGGGAAGAGGAAATGTGAGGGGTGCAGCTCTACAGGGGCCGTAAGAGGGACCGGCTGGCTGATGATGCCTGATCCTGCCGCTTGCTTGATGTTCCAGAAGGCTAAGGATGGACTGATCTCTCTTGTTCTCCAGGACATCTCTAGCACAGCTGCCCTGTGACTTTCGTGGATCTTAGGTAATGTTACCTTCATTGGCCCTTCCTACCATAATAGGTTTTCATGGGTTTTAAAAATTTCATTTTTTTCTGATGTGAGGAAAAAAATTAAAATTTTCTTTGACCCTGAAAGTTCTTTTTCTTCTGATTTTAGGACCCTAGGCACTGTGCCTATGACACCTGATGGATGACTCGGCCCTGATCCCCAGTACATAGCACAGTGCTGGACACATGAAGATCTGATGGACAGATGGATGGATGGGTGGATTTGTAAAATTAATATTTAGGCCAGGTCTAAGTGGGAAAAAAACCTGTGCAGTTTTCCCAGGACACTTTTCTTTTTTAATGTCTGTAGCACCTACCATAGGGGCTGACATAGAACACCCTTTTAGTGTGTGAGCAAATGATTCCAAATGGAATAATGTGGTATTGTTTTAGGAATTCTCACAGTGTGTATTGTGGTCCTGATATATCCTTATTTGTAGTAATGTGTCCACAGCTACATTTTCCTACCACCCATCCACCCATCTATCATCCACCCATCCATCATCCATCCACCCACCCATCATTCTCCATCTATTCTCCATCCATCCTCCATCCATCTATCCATCCACCATCTATCCGTCCATCCATCCATTCTCCATCCCTCAATTTATCCATACATCCATCCCTCCATCCATCCCTCCATCCATCCTCCATCCATCATCTATCCATCCATCCATCCATTTATCTATTCATCTATCCATCATACTCTATCCATTTATCCATCCATCCATCCATCCATTTATCTTCCTTCCTTCCTTCCATCCATCCATCCATCTTCCAGACCAGTCAGTCAACAATTTGGTGGGTGGCTTCTCTGTGCCAGGCATGATATAGTATTAAATTCTAGGGATATGCTAGAAAACAAAACAGACATGGCATATGTATGGTTATAAAACTGTGCTGAATGTTAGGAAAAAAGTAACACTGAGCCCGTAGCTTGAATGGGGAGTGGTGAGAGGGAGTGGGTGCCTGAACCAGTCTGGGGAGGGCCCTTAGGGAAGAATTCCCTGAAAATGGAAAGCAGATGAGGGGTTAAGAAGGGGAAAGGAGAGAGAGCATTCCTGGCATCTGGAACAGCAGGAGCAAAGGCCAAGGGTGGAGGGAGCATGGTACATTTGCAGTACGGAGGGAAGGTGGGTGTGGCTGGAGTGCAGGCAAGGGCCGGGGAGAACTGTCTGCCATTGGACTCCAGAAGAGGATAGAGTCAGATCATGTAGGGCTTTGGGAGCCACAGAAAGGCATTTGGAATTTACCTTGAAAGTAAAGTGGAGTCTAGTCAAGGAACTGGGTTATGTTTAAATCTACTCTTGAGAGAATTCAGAAAAAAAAAATCTTTAAATATAGAAAACATACAACACAATTATTTTAGTCTTTGTTAAGACCATTATCTGATTCTTGCATAAACTACAAAGCCAGTTTCCTTGAGCATCCATTTAGAAACTCATTATTGCTTAATTAAATACCCATTCTATTAATTCTATTCAATGTTTTAACCCCATTATGTAATTCAAGATGGAAAATCAAATAGATTAAAATGAAATAGTACCATTTTATGTTTCTATAGCAATGCTCACTTTGTGATTTAGAAACAATAGACATTAATTTAGCATACAAGAGCAGGAAGAATTATTGATTGTAACATTACTTCTTTTAATTGGAAAAAATAGATAAAGTCACTTTTCTGTTAAACTGTGTGGCAAATCAAATACCAGACGCAAAATATATTTTTACATAATCAGTGTGGGTGACCGGCTTGGGACATACTGAGGCTCATTAGCTCTCTCCCCTTGTATTCAGAACTGAGTATTTCATTCTGCTTTCTTTGACAATGTGGGGCGAGTTTTATGATGGACATTTAGGAAGAGAAAGGTCATCCATCACCAGGGGGAAGAGGGACTTCCATTTTATTTTACACCAAGAATAAATGCTCTTCCTCATTGAGCAAATGGTTGATTTTACGTTAAGGTTAACCTGAAATTGGAAATAATGATCATCAGGGTAGAAAGCCACAGCTAGGGAAGAAGTGACAGTGTGTGACTTTAAGGGACTGGACATCTATAAGCTTGCATGCCTGATGACTAGAGTCCAGGTTCATGAACTGTCATCCATGATGTTTCATGGATGGTGAACTTGAAAAGTTGGGATGTAGTCATTTGGGCCCTGGCTTTGGGAAATTAAAAGATAAGGTCCCAGAAAATTTTATAAACTTGAATTTCTATTTGTGAGGTTAAAAGCGTGGGGGAGACATCATCAGTAATTTAACTTGCAAACAATTTTGAGGCTATGTTTACATAAAGGATAGAGCTCATTGGAAAAATCTGATCTCTTGCTGATAGCCTAACAGGTAGAAACTGTGATTGCTAGGAATAAGCTAATACATTTAAAGATCCTGACACGGGCGCCTGGGTGGCTCAGTCATTAAGCGTCTGCCTTCGGCTCAGGTCATGGTCCCAGGGTCCTGCGATTGAGCCCCACATCGGGCTCCCTGTTC